ACCTAGACAGCATATTAAAAAGCAGAGACATTACTTTGCCAGCAAAGGTCTGTATAGTCAAAGCTGTGGTTTTTCCAGTAGTCATGTAAAGATGTGAGAGTTGGACTGGAAAGAAGGCTGAGCACCAAATAATTAATGCTTTTGAATTATGGTGTTAAGACTCTTGAGAGTCCCTTGGACAGCAAGGAGATCAAATCAGTCAATCCTAAAGAAATCAACCCTGAATATTCATTAGAAGGACTGATGCTGAACCTGAAGCTCCAATACTTTGGCCACTTGATGCAAAGAGCTGACTCCTGGGAAAAGAACTTGATGCTGGGAAAGACAGAAGACAAAAGAGGGCAGTAGGGGATGAGATGGTTAGATAGTACCAACTCAATGGATATGAATTTGAGCAAACTCTGGGAGATAGTGAAGGACAGGGGAGCCTGGCGTGCTGCAGTCCATGGGCTTGCAAAGAGTCAGACCCGACTTAGCAACTGAACAACAAAGACGCTCATTAAGTATTTGCTGACTAAATGAAGACATAGTACCAGACCTTCAGATGCCAACTAGTGGAGCATAATGGTTAAGAGCATTAGATCTAAAGACAGATCAGAAAAGTGAAAGTGTTAGTCTGAAGGACTAACATGTCGTTAGTCATGTCCAGCTCTTTTTGACCCCATGGAGTGTAGCTCTCCAAGTTCCTCTATCCATGTGATTCTCCAGGCAAGAATACTTGAGTGGGTAGCCATTCCCTACACCAGGGGATCATTCCGACCCAGGGATTGAACCCAGATATTCTCATTGCAGGCAGATTCTTTACAATCTGAGCCACCAGGGAAGCCCAAAAGACTGATTAGAGCTGGGTTCTAATTCTGGTACTGTATCTACCTAGTGTGTAAAACTGGTATATTACTCAATATCTCTAAGCCTTCTTTTCTTCATCTGTAAAACAGGGTTCTTAACAGTACTTCACAACAGTACCAGGATTGTTGTGAGGTGAAGACATAAAATGTACTTAGTGAAATACATGGCACAGAATAAAGGCTCATAAAATGTTAGCTGGTGTTACACAAATTGATATAGTATATAGTAAATGCTTTTAACAGAACTATGGGCAAAGTACCATGGGAACAGTGAGGAAGCACTGATTAAATTAGGTGAAGCAAGGAATGTTTCAGTAAGGAGAAAAGTCTTAAATGAATTTCCCAGGCAAAAGGGGAAAAGCATATGCAAATATATGGAATCAACAAAGGGTCTGACATTTTTGTTGGGGGCTCAGAACATAAGGTTTGGGAGAGGGAAGGGTTGGAAATAACAGTGAGAGCTGAGGTCAGGCTGATCTCTGAAAGACTGAGTCATCTAAGGGATATAGACTTAATTCTATAGGAAAAAAAAGAGAGCCAAAAGGAGTGCTTAAACAGTAGAGTAACATGATCAGATTTGTTTTACAGGAATCTAATTCTGCTGGCAGTGCGGATCAAAGATTGGAATCTGGGAGAACAGCTATAATGGTCCAGGTAAGAGATAAAGGCCTAGATTGTAGCAGTGGAAACGAAAGGAATGGTCAGATTCCAAAGACATTTCTGAGACTAAGTGGACAGGATATGGTAAATGAGTAGACACTGAAAGAGATAAGAGAATGAAAAGTGATCACAGCTTCTAACTCAGGAGATGACATATTTATTAAACAATGACCTGATGTCAAATGACCATCAAAGGAGTGATTTTCTCAGGAAAATGGTAATTCTGTTTTGGGCATATATTATCATTGTTGATATCTGTCTTCTTCCATGCATTGCTTGCTGGCATGAATTATCCATGGCAACTTTATATTTTCAGTGCCTAACACATTTTTGACACTTAATAACTGTTTGTTGACTTAACCAAATATAAACTAGTGTGCATTTTTAATAAAATACTGCATGTGCACAATTTCACAAAAATTTCGTCTCACTTTCTCACATTTAAGTCCTTTCATCCAAGTTTTAGATTCTAATGATTTTGAAGATCAAATGTCACCCCAAAACATGCCCCTTTGCCTAAGGATTATTTTGAGCTGAAGGGAACTGAGGAGAAAGAGAGACAAGAAAAAACATCTAACAGAAAAAGAGACTCCGATGTATAGAACAGACTTGTGGACTCTGGGAGAAGGCGAGGGTGGGATGTTTCAAGAGAACAGCATCGAAACACGTATATTATCTAGGGTGAAACAGATCACCAGCCCAGGTTGGGTGCATGAGACAAGTGCTCGGGCCTGGTGCACTGGGAAGACCCAGAGGGATCGGGTGGAGAGGGAGGTGGGAGGGGGGACCGGGATGGGGAATACATGTAAATCCATGGCTAATTCATTTCAATGTATGACAAAACCCACTGCAATGATGTAAAGTAATTAGCCTCCAACTAATAAAAATAAATGAAAAAAAAAAAGAAAAAACATCTGCCCTCCTCCTTTCTATCTGAAAGCAGAGCATAAAATGCCCTTTGTGAAGGTGTCTCCCCCTCACCTCACCCTTACCAGGAAGGAGAGAATCAATCTTATCTGCCTAAACAGAATCTTAGTAAATAACCGTTACCTTCCATTAGTTTCCTCAACAGATTTACCTTCTCACAATTTACTGCCCCTAAAAGACTAAACTCCTTTTTCTTTATCTTGTCATTTTCCCACTAACTTCTTGCTCTTTGTTAAAATGATACATAAGCTCCTGTGTATAACAAGATTTTTGGGGTCTTCACTCTTTCCCTAGGAAGGCCTCTATATGCATACATAATAAACTGTTTCTCCTCTTAATCTGACTTTTGTCAGATTATTTCATAGATCCCAGCCACAGAATGTAAGATGGTATAGGAAGCTTTTTCCTCCCCTACAATCTATTCTCAAAAATTCTAAGCAGAAATTAAATGCTGTAACACCCATATTGGTATTCCACTAATCAAACGCACCAAACACAAATAGATTTATCCATTTATCCATTGGATAGAATTTTTAAGTAATTTGACCTGTGAGTAAGAAAGAAAAAGTAACAGAGTGTTTCTAACTGAGTTATAAAGGTAACTTATGGATGTTGATGCCATTAAAGATGGCTCAAAAGAGCAGAAGCAGGGTTGTGGGTAGATAATAATAAAAAACATTTTCATGAATGATCATTAATATCTAACCAGCTACTCAAGCCAGACACATGGGAATCATCCTATGCTATTCATTTTTTGCCCCAGGTAGTGAGTTATCAATTCTTTCTTTTATATTTCTCAAATTCAGCTCCTCTTTAAGGTGTCCAGACTCATTGCTATCATAATCTACCATAATTGAAGTACTCATTTCTTTATGAAGTTGGGAGCCTCTTAAACAGTCTCCCTGTCTCTAGCCTGGAACCTCCATCCAATCTGTCTTTTACACTGCTACCAGAATGCTCTTTCCAAAACAAAAATCTAAACATTTTAACTCGGCTTCTGATCTAAACCCCTCAAAGCCCATCCTTCCCCAGTACCTTGAGGATAAAGTTCATGTCTCGGTTTAACAAAAAGACACTTAAAATCCCAATCCTGTCTACCTTTCCCACAACTCCCACACATGCAGCCTTTGGTCCAGCCAGGCAGTATCTTTAAAATGCCATGCTGTTTCAGCCTCCATGCTTTTGCACTTGCTATCTGCTCTGATACTCCCCTTCCTTCCTTGTCTTACATAATTGACTCCTCGTTCAAAAGCCTCCAGGGAGCTTTTCCTGACACCCTGATTCATAAGGCTAACTTGTATATTTGTGTAGTATCTTCAATAGAGTATTACCATCAAATACTGTAACTGCAGGCATATCTATTTCACTAGTCAGCAAGGTCCCTGAGGCCAGAAAATAAGTCTCCTTTGATTTTGCAGAATCTAGCAGTATGTGGAACATGTAACAGACACTCAAAAAACATTTGTTGAGGGAGTATAGTTAATTGATGTGCTTAAAGAACATGTAGGTGGAGAGAGCCTTTATATATTGTTATGTGAAAAGGGTAGCATGCACAATAAGATTTCATTGTTGTTTAAAAAACATAAAGCTCTTGAAAGAAAACAAGAATTTTGGAGCCAAAGCCAGTTGAGGATTGGAGGTAGTGAGTGAATATCTTAATTGAGAATGGACAAAGGACAAAACTCAAGAGAAACAGCAATACTTAAGGGAGTGGAAGAGGAAGAGACAGCAGGGGTACAGGCAGGGAACAAGGAAGAGCAGAATCATGGAAAGCTGAGGGGAGTACGTTCAGAGTGGGGAAAACTAGTGTCAAATACTACAGAGCGAATGGAATCCCAGCAAAATACTACTGAGCAGGTGAACATTTTAGGTTCTCTTTGTTGACATCACCTTTGCCTCACTCAATACATCAGCACCACAGGGGACAGCTTAGAATAATATTTTGCATTCTGCTTTTTAGGTTTAAAACTGGTTATATTTAACTTTCCAGCTCTGAGACCAAATGAAAATCATTAAGATATTTTAAACTACCTGACACTGGGATAAAACATTTACTAAACCAAGAAGATGGAAAAATTAAGATATTTCAGTATCTTTTTTTCTTTTCTTAGTTACTTCTTATTCAGGTATCCGTTACTTTTATTATTTTAAAAATATCTAGGGACTTCCCTGGTGGGCCAGTGTCTAAGACACTGTGCTTCCACTGCAGGGGGAACAGGTTCAATCCCTGGTCAGGGAACTAAGATCTCACATGCTGTGTGGTATGGGCAAAAAATAGGAAAAAAATTTTAAAGAAAATATCTCATGTGGATTTGAGGGGAGAGAATTTTTTTTGTTTAGATTTACATTAGTATGGTAGCTTGAGTAATATTAGTTACTGTCTGACAACCTTTAACCATCACAATTTTTCATTTACTAATTCTAACAGAAGGAATTCTCATTTCTAATGCATCTCAATTTTAGGTGTTTTCATGAATCTGTAATATCTGATAAACAATAAGGTACTTTATGGTAAAAGAAAAATTATAGCATGTAACAATAGTAACCGTAAAATAATGAACATACCCCTGTATCTGTATCAGATTTTGATGAATTTAGACTTTCCTGAGAAGGTGATGGGGACACACGTCCTAAAATGACATAATAATTGTAAAAAGGCACGTATGTATATACAACTGTATATACACACACAGAGAAAACATCAATCACAAATAATAATACAGCAACACCTAATTAAAAGTCACAGAATGTATCATTCTAGAAAAATATATTTTTCTAAACAAGCGAAGCATTAACTCTTAGGCACCAAAGTATTTGTTTTTATTATTTTTATATAGCTCTTTATAAATTGGCTTAACCACATCTCCAATTTAATAAAATATTGTTATATCCTCATTATTCATTGTGAAGACATTCTTGTCAATCAGAACAATTAGCAACACGAACAATAAAGGGGCAAAAAGTGTCTGGGCTGGGTTAAATCTCAATGGCCACTGAAAATAGTCTTTCTGCTCTAGGCAGGGCAATAAAAGAAATGTATAATAGACATAGCTTTACTTTCTGTCAACTCATTATCATCTCAAATTATGTTATTAGAACATATTGCAAACAACCTCATGGGGCTACTAAAGTATATGGGCCCCGCTGGCCAGTTTAGTGGCTCTCCCTAGATTTCCATGTTCCTCAAACTACTACTTCAACTATATTCTATACTCCTGCCCATGGTCACCTCTATTCTTTTTCCCATATCTTAACTTCATGTATTCAGCCTTGGATGATTGGATAGCAAGAGGTTTGTGGTGAAAATGTACTACAGTTAAATAATGACGACAATAATTACAAGAAAAGAATCCTATAAACTTAAAGCTCCTAAAACATCAATTCTAAACACTTTGCTGCTAACATAATACAGAAATATTTTACATAGTTGTATTCGTGTGTACACACATCATATTCTGGGGTTTCTCTTTTCCATTTAACCTAGTTTCATATACTCTTTGATGTACTGACAAATAACATTTACTTTCCATGGCTTTTATTTCCTTAATCATTCTTTACTTATTAGATGTATGTATTATTCTTATTCTTTTTCTAGATTAATCACACATTTCATTTTAACCTAGGATAGAACTGAAAGTTACCAGGGGAAACCAAACAACCTTGTCCTCAATAGTTCATGAATTTAACTCTGCAGTATACCTGATAAGAAATAAAGTCAAAAACTTTGTGGTAGTTTTCTTCACTGGGTTTAGATGCTTTTTGCTGATGACTTCTGTCTTACTTTTAGGTTTGTGGCTTTTATGGAAAGTAGTGGTTGCTGCAAATGATTGCCAGATAAGAGGGCATTACTATACCTAAAATGTAAAAATGCCAGATGTCTCCAGATTTTTTAAACCCCACCAATAAAGGAAAAATACCTTCTGTATTGTATTTCATTCGCATATTGTTGAAATAGTCAAAAGCATTTTTTAAAGCCCATATTCTCACTACATTGTCTTGTCCAGCAGAGGCAAGTAATCTGCCACAGTGAGAAAATTTCATGGTCCACACAGCTCCCTGTGAAAACAAAGGAAGGTTCAAAGTTGAAAAGCTGAGACATTATTTTTCAGCCAAAAAAAAATACTTATAAGTTGTATGCCAAATTGTACATACAGTAAAGTCCCTGCATATGAACAAATTCCATTCCAAAAGTGCCTTCATAAATCTAATTTGTTCTTAAGTCCAACAAAGTTAGTTTAGGTACCCAACTAACACATTTGGCTATATAGTACTGTAATAGACTTATGATACTTTCCAAACAAATAATACACAACACAAAAAATTAAGACAACATTTTTAATCTAACAGTACAGTACCTTGAAAAGTACAGTAGTACCAGCTACATCACCACTGCTTTTATACTTGCTTCCAGACATCCTGGACTTAAAATAAGGATACTGTACTACTGTACTCTATACAGTACTGTAAAGTACACAAAAGCACAACTACTTGTAGAGGATGCATACATGTGACCATGTATGCCAGACACATGAACTAACTTATGTGATTGGACATGTGAACGCTGGTTCGCATCTTTGAAAGTTCGCAGGTTGAAGGTTTATATGTAGGGGACTTATTGTATACTAAAATAATGCTCACATTACTAGCACGACTTAAAGCTAACAGTCCAGTGGTACTATAATACCACAAAAGGGGCTTTTAGAAGACAGGGGAAAGACAGCTGAGCTGCAGTTTGCTATAATGTAAACTAACAACTTCAAGACCCATATATTGTCCACATATTAATGAAAATGGGATATTTGAGGTAGCCAGAAACCTTCACTGCAAAAGTACAAATCCTAGTTTGTGGTCTTAGTCTCCTAGCTGAACATGACAGCAAGTGGGATAGGAGGGGGCACAGCCCTGAGAATAGCAATAACTCCTGACAAGGGCTGAGGGAAGAATAAGGTGCACCTTAGCAGTAACCCTCACAGCACTGGGCATTTGGAAATGTTGCAATGGTGTGGTCTCATTCTGTTTTTCTCCCCAGAAAAAAAAGTTTTGTAACATATTGCTAAAATTCCCAGACAGACAGTACTAAAAAGAATGGGGAGGTATGTGGGGGAAAGCAATAAAGAATGTGAATCCTTAAATTAGAAATGCCAAATCCCAAATAATCTTATAACAACTATTAAATTGATAACATACACCTATGCAGATCAAAAAGATCATCCAAGTTAGAGGTAACAATTTATTTATTGGAATATTCACTTCCACAAAATTCCCACAAAAATGTTAAGAAATTTGTCATTTGGAGCTTATTGCCATGAGATTTTAACTTAAAACTGGAAATACTGAAAGAGACTCAATACAGTACAAGGAAATTCATCAGATTCCTTAAGGAACTTACTATAAACAACTCAAGCTTTTTAAAAACTTTTATTTTATTGAAGTGTAGCTGATTTACAATGTTAATTTCTGCCATATAGCACAGTGATTCAGTTGTAAATATAATACATATTCTTTTTCATACTCTTTTCCATTATAGTTTATCACAGGATATTGAATATAGTTCCCTATGCTCTACAACTCAAACGTTTTATGTGTAGATTATAAGCACCAAAGTAAATTCAAATCTGGTTGCCACCTGATATGTATAAGCCAACTTTTAGATTTAAAAATGTAAATAGATAAGGAGATCCCCTGTCAAAGACTCACAGCATCACTTACCCAGTTCTGAGTTTATTACACTCTTCCTTGTGTTTCTAGCATTTTCAGGGGGTAACTGTGATGTACTTTGTGAACTTGACATCTACTTTGGTACATTTTAAGACAACCTATACCTCTACCTCTCTCTTTGCTCTTTCACTTCACAAAATATACCGAGCTTCTGAAACACTTGTATAAATTATTTAAAATATAACAGGGAACATTTTAAACATTGTTCAAAGTGACAGATCACCCTTAATTGCTTTTAAGTTTGGTACCTTTCTTTGGTAAAAGGAAGTTTACATAGCTTTCTTAATGATACAGGCCTAGAGTTTACTTATAAGTCACTTCTTGAACAACAATTCAGAGACGGACTCTGCATTACTTATTCATTAAATCATATTAATATCAATTCACTCTTCATGGCTCAGGCTAGCAAAACTATATACATAAGAAGACATCAGCTTTATAGAAGCCAAATTATTTCTCTCAATGAAAACAGAATCAATCCTAAAAAATGAAAAGGTTGCTTACCATATGTTCACCACTAAGATCTTGTACCACTTTGATCTGATCAAAATCGTAAGGTCCTTTGAAGCCATGTGCTGCTTTGAATTTAACTGGTCTTGTGTACGGCATTCCTTCATCATCACTTGATGAAGGATCATCTTGATCAGTATGAAAAACTGAATAGAAAAGCAATAGAAAGCATCACTAGCTAATGTAGATATTGCTACAGTCATATTATCATATCTACTGCTAACCAAGAATATTCATTAATTGGAAAAAGCAAAATCTGTCTACTACTAAATAGCATATTGATTCAGCAGCATGGAGTCTGGTAGTACCAGACTGCCTGGGTCCAAATTCCACTCTGTCATTTATTATCTATGTGACTATGGGCAAGGTATTCGACCTTTCTGTGCCTCAGTTTCCCATCTATAAAATAGGATAATAATGGTATCCCCACTGTACTCAGTCATGGGGGTTTCCCTGGTGGCTCAGTGGTAAAGAACCCACCTGCAATGCAGGAGACATGGGTTCAATCCCTGGGTCAGGAAGATCCCCTGGAGAAGGAAATGGCAACACACTGAAGTATTCTTGCCTGGGAAAACCCATGGACAGAGGAGCCTGGTGGGCTAGAGTCCACAGAGTCACAAACAGTCAGATATGACTTAGTGACTAAACAACAACAATAATGGTACTTACTTCATAGACTTTTTAAGAGGAGTAAATGAGCTAATACAGGTGAAAGTGCTGAGAACAGTGTTTGGCACAGAATAAATGCTATATAAGTGCTTATTAAATAAAAAAAATGAATACAGCTATAACAAGGGCACAGGAAGTTAAGGTACAGAAATTCAGAAAATTTACCTAATTTTGAGAATATTTATAAACACTAGTCTTACAAAACTAATTTACGACTGATTATTGAACAATCAACTCTTCCAAGTTGCCACAGTTGCAAAATATGTAAATTCATGTTTAAGATAAATAAATTTTTCTTTCCACTCATAAAGTTGATAGTGAGAGTAACATGATTTATTGAAATGCTAAGATAAAAGCTATAAAGATTTATTACTTTCAATAAAACAGAATATTTCTTATAAACCTCAGGCTAAACTTAAATGACTACAAATCAATTAAATATTCAGTTGAAGGGTTCTATTTCCCTTACCTTCGTCTCTAACACTTTTAACTTTATTTACAGCACGTTCACCATATTCCTCAGCAAGGTGCTTCGCTCTCTTTACTGATTTTCCTAGGAACTTCTTTAGTTGAGTCCTTACCAAAAATGTAAAAAAAAAAAAAAAACCAACCCAGATTACTTCTTATTAATTCAACTAACTGTAAAAGTTCAACAATTCACAGATAATCTCATGAGCTGTGACTGGTAAAGTGTATCATTTTGAAATAATTCCTTTTTTATATAAATAGTAGGTGTTTAACTCCCCAAATCCCTTGTTCTATGGAACAAATATACTCAAATCAATATGGCTACAAAGGAAATATAGGCAGTTCTCCCCAATGACAGTATCATATCCTCTACAGCATTATGTCACTAGAGGAAAACATAGGTATAACACTCTTTGGCATAAACTGCAGCACTATCTTTTTGGATCTAACTCCTGGAGCAATGAAAATAAAAACAAAAAAAGGGATCTAATTAAACTTAAAAGCATTTGCACAGCAAAGGAAATCACAAACAAAACAAAAGACAACCCACAGAATGGGAGAAAATATTTGCAAATGAAGTGACCAGCAAGGGACTAATCTCCAAAATATAAAAAACAGCTCCTGCCAGCTGAACATCAAAAAAAACAAAAACCATACAATCCAATTAAAAATGAGCAGAAGATCTAAAGAGACATTTCTCCAAAGAAGACATATAGATGGCAAAAAAGCAGACAGAAAGATGCTCAACATCACTAATTATTAGAGAAATGCAAATCAAAACTACAATGAGGCATCACCTCACACCAGCCAGACGGTCATCATCAGAAAGTCTACAAACAATAAATGCTGGAGAGGGTAGGGCAAAAACGGAAACCTCCCACATGTTGGTGGGAATTTCAATTGGTAAAACCACTATGGAGAACAGTATGGAGATTCCTTAAAAAAAATAAAAAAAGAACTACCATGTGGTCCAGCAATCCCACTCCTCTGGGCATATATCTGGAGAAGAGCACACTTTGAAAACATACATGCATCCCCAACGTACATTACTCACAATAGCCAAGACACGGAAGCAATCTAAATGTCCATCAACAAAGGAATGAATAAAGAAGATGAGGTACATATATACAATGGAATATTACTCAGCCATAAAAAGAATGAAATAATGAGATTTGTAGCATAAGTGAAGTTAAGTCAGACAAACACAAATATCATATGTTATCACTTACATGTGGAATCTAAAAAAATGATACAAATGAACTTATTTACAAAACAGAAACATACTCACAGATTTCGAAAACAAACTTACAGTTACCAAAGGGGAAAGGTGGAGCGGGGAGATAAATTAGGAGTTTGGGATTGACATATACATACTACTACATATAAAATAGATAATCAACAAGGATCTACTGTATAGCACAGGAAACCCTATTCAATATTCTCTAATAACTTATATGGGAAAAGAATCTGAAAAAGAATGAATATATGCACATGCATAACTGAATCACTTTGCTGTACACCAGTCAAGCTAACATGATATTGTAAGTCAACTATACTCCAATATAAAATAAAAATTAACTAAAGTTATTATAAAATAGTGGCTATATCCCCCATGCTGTACAATATATTCTTGTAGCTTATTTTATACATAGCAGTGCGTATCTCTTAATCCCCTACCCCTATCTTGCCTCTCCCTTCTTCCCTCTCCCCACTGGTAACCACTAGTTTATACCTGTGATACAGAGATTAAATAAATATGAGATTAAAAACAGATAAACCATTTTTATTTATTTATTTATTTTAAAACAGATAAACCACTTTTAAAATCACAATAAGGTCCCTGTTATTTATAACTGAAGTTATATTTTTCTGGTTAACTATAGGTTTACTACTACTATAAGCAAGAAAGCAGATATTTTAGCCAGTTTGTATGAGACCATCTCTAAAATACATACATTTGTGCCTTCTTCAATGGTACTTAATGCTCAATAAGTTTCTTTAATAAATAGGGTCAGTTACCATCTTTACTATTCTTTAATACACCTGATGCTGGGAGGGATTGGGGGCAGGAGGAGAAGGGGACGACAGAGGATGAGATGGCTGGATGGCATCACCGACTCAATGGACATGAGTTTGAGCAAACTCCAGGAGTTGGTGATGGACAGGGAGGCCTGGAGTACTGCGATTCACGGGGTCACAAAGAGTCAGACACGACTGAGCGACTGAATTGAACTGAACTGAACTGAATACACCAAGGCTTCTCAAATGATTGCAAGTGGGCCATAATAATGGTTCCCCTCTCAGCCTTCAAGGCAACAGGGGAGGGCCCAGAGAAGCCAGAACCCTGGGTCAGATAATGGTTCCCCTCTCAGCCTTCAAGGCAACAGGGGAGGGCCCAGAGAAGCCAGAACCCTGGGTCAGTCTCTTCTGGCCATCAGCTGCCTCATCAGCTTACCCCAGGATTCAGTGCAAATAATACCATGTTCTGAACATGATGATGTGAGAAGAAGTTGAAAGCACTGCCATGTGGAATGGCTGAGCAATGAGTCCTTTTTATCATTTTCCTGATTCTTCTCTTGCAATCAGAGTATTCTCTGACATTCTTATGTGCTAACTTCTATCTGTCATGGTTTGATGCTTCTATTTTGCTCTGAGATCAAATATCAGATGACCAGACTTTTAAAAATTATGTAAGAAGTAAGTATAAAGGTTTTCAATAAAACTGAGGAGCTTTTCTTTTTAAAAAATAATGAGCTTTACTGCATGGAGCACTCTTTCCTAAATGTCTATACGCCTCCTGAATAATTCTAATTATACGGTCCTTAATAGTTGCCACTGTTAGACAGCCAGGGTCCAGATGGCTGAGGTGTTATCATATACCTCCACTGTGGGCATACCTTTTCTAAAAAAATCTCAATGTTTTCTTTGCTATACTTTCCACATGAGGAAAAGATCAGACTTGAGTGGAGAACTCGCTTTGGCCTTAGACTAAATTATTGCCAATTAAAGGACTTCCAGATGTACAAGCTAGATTAAGAAAAGGCAAAGGAACCAGAGATCAAATTGCCAAGATCCACTGGATCATAGAAAAAGCAAAAGAATTCCAGAAAAACATCTATTTCTGACTCATTGATGACACTAAAGCCTTTGACTGTGTATCACAACAAATTGTGGAAAATTCTTAAAGAGATGGAAATACTAAACTACCTTACCTGTTTCCTGAGAAACCTACATGCAGGTCAAATGCAACAGTTAGAACTGGACATGGAACAAAGGACAGTTCAAAATTGGGAAACGAGTATGGCAAGGCTGTATATTATCACCCTGCTTATTTAACTTGCATGCAGAGTACATCATGAAAAATGCCTGCCAATCTGGATGAATCACAAGCTGGAATCAAAATTGCAAGGAGAAATATCGATAGTCTCAGATATGCAGATGACACCACCCTCATGGCAGAAAGTGAGGAAGAACTAAAGAGCCTCTTTGCGAAGGTGAAAGAGGAGAGTGAAAAAGTTGGCTTTAAACTCAACATTCAAAAAACGAAGATCACAGGATCCAGTCCCATCACTTCATGACAGACAGATGGGGAAACAATGGAAACAATGACAGACTTTATTTTCTTGGGCTCCAAAAATCACTTCAGACAGTGACTGCAGCCATGAAATTAAAAGACGCTTGCTCCTTGGAAGAAAAGCTGTGACAAACCTAGACAGCATATTCCAAAGCAGAGACATCACTTTGCTGACAAAGGTCCATATAGTCACAGCTATGGTTTTTCCAGTAGTCACATATGGATGTGAGACTTGGACCATAAAGAAAGCTGAGTGCCAAAGAACTGATGCTTTCCAACTGTGGTGCTGGAGAAGACTCTTGAGAGTCCCTCGGACAGCAAGGAGATCAAACCAGTTAATCCTAAAGGAAATCAGTCCTGAATATTTATTGGAAGGACTGATGCCAAAGCTGAAGCCACAAACTCATTTGAAAAGACCCTGATGCTGGGAATGACTGAGGGCAGAAGAAGGGTGTGACAGAGGATGAGATAGTTGGATGGCATCATTGTCTCAACGGACATGAATCTGAGCAAACTCTGGGAGATAGTGAAGGACAGGGAAGCCTGGCATGTTGCAGTCCATGGGGTCGCAAAGAGTCAGACACAACTGAGTGACTGAACAACAAGGGACTTGTGTATAATCAAGGAAATCCTACATGTCTACCACTGTGCTAGATTTTTATACAGGCAAAAAGAATGGTATGATCAAAATCCTTTTGGAACATATTGTTGTTGTTCAGTCATTCAGTCACGTCTGACTCTTTGTGACCCCACGGACTGCAGCATGCCAGGCTTCCCTGTCTTTCACCATCTCCTGGAGCCTGCTTAATTTCATGTCCACTGAGTAGGTGATGCCACCCAAACATCTCATCCTCTGTCGTCCCCTTCTCCTGCCTTCAATCTTTCCCAGCATCAGGGTCTTTTCAAATGAGTCAGTTCTTCGCATCAGGTGGCCAAAGTACTGCAGCTTCAGCATTAGTCCTTTCAATGAATATTCAGGATTGAGTTCCTTTACAACTGACTGGTTTGTTCTCCTTACAGTCCAAAGAACTCTCAAGAATCTTCTTCAACACCACAGTTCAAAAGCATCAGTTCTTATGGTCTAGTTGTTTAACATGTATTTATTTTTTAAATCAGAAAACAATTTAAGATAATATAAATAGCAAATGTATGGTAATATAGACTATGGCTGTCATTGAAATTGAGAACAGGAAAATCTTTACTATGAACTGGAGTGGTCAGGAAGAGTCTCATGTAGTTGAGTTTAGAAAGACAAATAGGATTTGAAGCAATGATGTGAAATGGAAAAAGCAACTTCAAGAACAATCATGTTCTTCTACCAACACTTCTGGTACCTATCTACCATTAGAAAAATAATACAAGCATGAAGCAAAACATATTGATCATTTACTGTATGTCAGATGCTATAAAAATGACCAAGACAGCCTCAAGGAACTCATAATCCATTGCCTGAGGGCAGGAAGTGGTGGTGGTAGATGGACAAACAAACTGGCCAGAGCATAGATTTAAAACAGTATGACAGTTCTCATATATAAAATACACACACACACACACACACACACACACAGTAATAGAAGCCTGAAATGAAGAAATTGGATGTAACTCACGTTTTCTGTTTTAACCGTCCACCATCAGTATCTGTTTGTTGAGACTGTAACTTCTCTTCATCGTCTGACTGTGCTGCATCATTACTACAAGAAGAAGTCATTTTAAAAGAAGCCATTTCTCAAAACTTCTCAAAACTCTCTATGTATACTTACTATACAATTAACTAATCAGTGTTAAGAAAAAAAATGTTTACATGCTTTATGTAAGTTTAATTTAAATGACCCTGAGAATTAAAAGACTTGAAAGATGGTACAATGCATAAAACATAAACAAATGCAATTCAGGAATTTATGAAAAAAACTAACACAAAAAAGGCATTGTGCTGGGTAAAACATGCTGCGCAGAAATGACAAATTAACTTGTAAATATCTTCCTCCTTACTTATCAGGCACATCATGTGAAAGCTTTGGTTTCACAGAAATTACTTCTTGGGTCTACATATTTCTCACAGTAAAGTCAATCATTTCACTCTAAAGACACTGTCTGACCCTAAAAAGACAATACAATTATTTATAAAATTTCTGATCCTTAAAGCAAGGTTTCAGAAGACCAGGTATTTATCCCACATAGCTTTTTAGCCTCTTATGTTTTAATATTCTCTCTAGAATAATAAAAATCATCTTAAAAGAAGACAAACCAAATACTGTAATATTTAAGATATATCATGGAATCCGGTCCCATTACTTCATGGCAAATAGATGGGGAAACAGTGGAAACAGTGACTGACTTTATTTTTAGGGGCTCCAAAATCACTGCAGATGGTGACTGCAGCCATGAAATTAAAAGATGCTTACTCCTTGGAAGGAAAGGTATGACCAACCTAGGCAGCATATTAAAAAGCAGAGACATTACTTTGCCAACAAAGGTCCATCTAGTCAAGGGTATGGTTTTTCCAGTGGTCACGTATGGATGTGAGAGTTGGACTATAAACAAAGCTAAGCGCCGAAGAATTGATGCTTTTGAACTGTGGTGTTGGAGAAGACTCTTGAGAGTCCCTTGGACTGCAGGGAGATCCAACCAGTCCATCCTAAAGGAGATCAGTCCTGGGTGTTCATTGGAAAGACTGATGTTGAAGCTGAAACTCCAATACTTTGGCCACCTGATGTGAAGAGCTGACTCACTGGAAAAGACCCTGATGCTGGGAAAGATTGAAGGCAGAAGGAGAAGGGGACGACAGAGGATGAGATGGCTGGATGGCATCACTGACTCAATGGACATGAATTTGGGTAAACTCCGGAAGTTGGTGATGGACAGGGAGGCCTGGCATGCTGCAGTCCATAGGGTTGCAAAGAGTCAGACACAACTGAGCCACTGAACTGAACTGAACTGAACTGAACTAAGATATATATTTCCCCCCAAGTAACTGCACAGTTATAAGAAAGAACAAAGTTAAATGAAGAAAATATGACACACATAGGAATATTATTCAGCCATAAAAAGGAAATCTAGCCATTTGTGACAATATGGGTAGACCTTGGGAACATAAAACTAAATGAAATAAATCAGACAGCAAAAGACAAATACTTTATGATATCACTTAAATGTGGAATCTTAAAAAAAAGAACTTGTTTTAAAAAAGAGAGGACAAAGTTTAAGAATACATACATTAACTGACTCTATTTTAATTCTAACTTTAAAAAAAGAACACTGAATGAAACCAAATTAGGGACTCTCACAGTTCATAAACAGAACTCTTCACCATTTTGAATGAAATACTACAAATGATGAATAATAACATTAGGCCATACCTTACATATTCCTTAGTCCTTCTCATGATGTGTAGAGTGAGAGGATTAATACCCGTTGGCAGTTTCTCTTCTGCAAGACTCAAAGGTATTTCTTCTCCAGTATCTAGGTTCTTAATCATTACACTGGCTAAAATTTCCTGAAGTAAAAAATAACACCAAGAGTACCTATAATTTAATTATCTTTTTGAGTCCACAAAATCCTAAAAAATTTAAGCTAAGAACTCTCTAGATACATTCAGTACTGTGTGCAATAATTTTGTAAACATTTTTAGTGAGATACAATTCCCACACCACATAATGTACACATTTAATATATAATTCAACAGTTTTTAGTACACTCAGAGATGTACAATTACCACCATTATCTAAGTTTGGAACATTTCTGCCTCCCCCAAGAGAAACCCTATATCCATTAGCTGTCATGCCTTATTCCCTTTCCTCCCAGTTCCTGGCAACCACTAATCTACTTTTTTCCTCTATGTAATTGCCTATTCTGGGCATTTCATATAAATTATATTATATAGTATGTAGTCTTTTGTGATTGGCTTCTTTCAGTTAGCATCAAGCTTTCAAGGTTCATTCATGTTATGGCATGTAACAGAATCTCATTCCTTTTAATTGCCAAAAAATAGTCCACATGGATGATATACTACATTTTATTTATCTATTTATCAGACATTTGCATTGTTTCCACACTTTAGCTAGTTATGAACACCTATGTACATTTTTTGTGTGGACATATGTTTTCATTTCACTTTGCTGTATACATAGGAGTGGCATTGCTGGGTCATGGTAACTCAATGTTTAATATTTTGAGGAACTACAAAACTGTTTTCCAAAGTACAATAATTTTTTAAAAATGTATTGTTTAAAAGAAACAAAAACTAAGATTTTGCTTCAAAGCTTCATTCTGAATAAATTAGCCAACAGATATATACTAAATTTTAAGTTAAGAATCAAGCATTGAGCTTGTATATACTGTACATCATCTAACATGTATAGAGGCACATGTATATAATATCAAGTTCCTTTTAAGCCTACTTCCTATAAAACATAGGCCATGGCTTTCAATACATTTATTCTACCATATAATTGTGTGAAAGGGCAAGTTTAAGTCAGAGTTAAAATTCCAGCACATTAAAAAAACAAAAACTAAGACAATCTTCAATTTTCATTTTTTCTTTTACAATATGATTTTTTACCTAATAGCAATAAACTTATTTTTTTGATCATAGTAAAATATATATAATACAAAATTTATCATTATAACCACTTTTAATTGTATAGTTCAGTGGCATCAACTACATTTACATTGCCATGCAACCACCATCACCATTCATCTCTGGAATTTTTTAATCTTCTCACTATGACCTTTATATTTTATATTTTCAAGAACAAACAAAAAAAATTTAATTATACCTCATCAGTAAGCTCTCTCCCAGAGTTGGATCTAGGTCTCTGAGGGCCCATCACTTCACCGGCTATTGTCTGCCCATCAGGTGCTTTTCCATTTTCCTGAAATTATAATTTTATAAACAGAAAGTAGACTGAGTCAGTTTTTATAAATATTCAATTATTCATTACCACACACAGTTCTAAAGAATTCCATAATACAGATAATGGAGCCTACTGAAAATTTAAACAGAACATTCCATTTCAGTCTTTTATTATTCCCATCATGCTAAAAAACATTAGGTACCCAAAGTGTCGCTGCTCATGAAATAATGTCTGAGTAGTCTTGAAAGCAAATAAATGTTCTATTTGAACTTAGTCCAAAATCAGTTCTCTGCTAGTAAAATGTGCCATTAATCAGGACTATACACATGGATGTCTTGAGGGCAGGGGTTGGCAAACTTTTTCCTGTACAGTCAGATAGTAAAGATTTTAAGCTTTTTGCTTCACATATAGTGTCTGTTGAATATTCTTTTTTAAAAAAAACAATGCTTTAAAAATACAAAGACCATTTTTAGCTTGAGGACCCTATAAAATCAGGCCACTATTGACCTCTGCTCTAAGGCTATGAAAACACCATTGTGTCTTTTTGTGTGTATGCGTATTTTGAATTTTATTCCAAGTCCAGTGGCCACAGAATCCTTGATTTTCTAAAAAAAAAAAATTAAACATTTTTATTTTATATTGAAGTATAGTTGATTAACAATGTTGTGTCAGTTTCAGGTGTATAGCAAAGTGATTCAGTTATACATATACACATAGCTCTTCTTTTTCTTTTTTTTTTCATTTATTAGTTGGAGGCTAATTACTTTACAATGTTGTAGTGGTTTTTGCCATACATTGACATGAATCAGCCATGGGTTTACATGTGTTCCCCATCCTGAACCCCCCTCCCACCTCCCTTCCCATCACATCCCTCTGGGTCATCCCAGTGCACCAGCCCTGAGCACTTGTCTCATGCATCCAACCTGGACTGGCGATCTGTTTCACACTTGATAATATACATGTTTCAATGCTATTCTCTCAGATCATCCCACCTTTGCCTTCTCCCACAAAGTCCAAAAGTCTATTCTATACATTTGTGTCTCTTTTTCTGTCCTGCATATAGGGTTATCATTACCATCTTTTTAAATTCCATATATATGCATTATTATACTGTATTGGTGTTTATCTTTCTGGCTTACTTCACTCTGTATAATGGGCTCCAGTTTCATCCGTCTCATTAGAACTGATTCAAATGTATTCTTTTTAATGGCTGAGTAATATTCCATTGTGTATATATGTACCATAGCTTTCTTATCCATTTGTCTGCTGATGGGCATCTAGGTTGCTTCCATGTCCTGGCTATTATAAACAGTGTAGCTCTTCTTTTTCAAGTTCTTCTCTCATTTAGGTTATTACAGAATATTGAGCAGAGTTCCCTGTGCTATACAGTAGGTCCTTGTTGATTATCTATTTTAAATATAGCAGTGTGTATACGTCAATTCCAAGCTCTCAATCTACCTCACCTACTCTTCCCACCCCCCACCCCTGGTAATCATAAGTTCACTTCTCTAAGTCTGTTTCTGTTCTGTAAATAAGTTCATTTGTGTAACTTTTTAAGATTCTGCATATAAGCAATATCATATGATATTTGTCTTTCTCTATTTGATACTTCACTTAGTATAATATCTCCCAGTCTGCCAACCTGCCCCATCAGAGCTACCACGTAAGTAACCCTTGAATTCCAGAATTTGGCAGAGGCAGAAATTCATGTTATCAAGTTCTTTCTATATTGCCTCATATATGGATGTATAGTCTACTGTATGAAGGCTTTTTTTTTCATGATTAGGAAAAGGAAATTGTAAAAAATAAAAGTTCCCAATTTGACCACTATGTGTGCATGTGTGTGTTACGTCACTTCAGTTGTGTATGACTCTCTGTAACCCTACACTCCTCTGTTCATGGGATTCTCCAGACAAGAATACTGGAGTGGGTTGCCATACCCTCCTCCAGGAGATCTTTCCCACCTAGGGATCGAAGCCTCATCCCTTATGTCTCCTGCATTGGCAGGCAGGTTCTTCACCACTAGCGCCACCTGGGAAGTCCTTTGACCATTATAGGTCAGATAAATGAAGATGGTAGTTGGTATTTTTAATAAATACTATATATAGCAGCATCTGTCACTTTTTGAACACACATACCAGGTACCTGGCATATTTTAGCTCATTTCAATCTTGCAATAAACCTTCAAGGAAGGTTTTCCCCTCATTTTATCAATGAGCCATTTCAGACTCAGATGTTAAAAAGGTTGCTAGAATCAGTCAGCTACTTAGTAGCAGAGCTGGACAAGGGATGTGGTAGCCAGGTTTTGGAGACAAGGAAATATTTGGCCTGGAGAAGAAAGAAGGTTCAACAATCAACAAACCAGTTAGTTGCAGAAAGTTGAGACAGCCTGTATCAAATATAACACATATTCACCAACCTGGGCAGTAACTATTTTATCTCCACTGGTAGCACTTGCCAAATCAAGAGAAGGCTGAGAATCTTTGACTGTACTCTCTGAAGCCATGTTCGTAGTTAGGAGAGTATCAGATGTAATACTCTCTTTGGGAACTGCAATAATAATAATATAATAATAACAACAACAACCAATACTTATATGACCTTACTCATAGCTTAAAAGTACTTAAACCTTTATCTGATTCTTAGAACAATCCTATGAGAAAAGTGGTTTCATTACTCTCTTTTTATATTAGGGGAAACCAGGGTTCAAATAAGTTATTTAAATTCCTCAAGGCTATACACCTTATACATGAAGAGATCTGGGGCTTGAATTCAAATCCTAAGTCTCCAAATCCTGTGTTCTTTTCACTGTGCCACTCTGGCTCTCCAATGGTAACAGATTTGAAAGCCTGCTGAAATGTTTAATTACAATAATGCAACAATACCAATGTAAACATTTTGGCTTTCTGTTAGTAAAATACATTTTATAACTTGGTCATCAATGTGGTTAAATACAGCATAAATTGAAAAAAAAATCAGAAAGGTCAAGTTTCAACTCCCCAAACTCCCCACAAAGATCCTTGTTTCTCAATTAATACTTACCATCTAGATCAGGTGTCTTAAGAGCCTCAAACTCCAATTCACTCTTCTTTTTTCTTGGTGGTGGAGCAGGTCGAGATGGAGGTGGGGGCCTAGGAGGTGGGAAGTTAGCTGGAGGGGGTGGGCGTGCTGGAACAGGCTTCTTTGTACTAGCTACTATATCAGGTTCTGGAGTAAGCTGTCTTGGTGGTTTGGCAGGTGCAACTTCTTCCACTACGGCAAAATCTTTCATAGATAAGGAGTGCGAGGATACAGATTCTAGAACATCACTTTCTTTGACTTCCACTTCTTCCTTGTTCAACACTTCTGTTACAGTTTCAGGAATATTAAGCTGTGCAGTTGAACTTATTTCAGTTAACTTTGTGGTTTCATCTACTGGCTTCTCACATGTGTCATCAGAAGGAAAACACTGTTTTGATTCTAATTCAGTTTCTTCAGATACATCCTGACTCTCTGCCTTCTGAGAATCTTCCTGCAGTACTTGATCTATGGCTAACAGTCCAGGTATATTGCTAAGATCTCTTCCAGCTGTGACAGGACTGGCAATAGCCTGATCAGACTGTCCTTTTCCTTTGGAATCCAAAGAATCATCTTCAAGCTGTAGTACTTTCTGACTCTCCTCAATAATACTTTCAATAATCTGATGAAAGGTTAAAAAGCAGTTTAAAAAAACAGTGAAGTGATTTTCAAGAACATAATATTAGCTAATCATTTATATTTTACTTACTATGTGCCAGGCAATGTTCTTAACACTTTATGTATTTTAATCTTTATAACAACCTTATAAGATAGCACTCTTACTATCGTCAATATACAAATGAGGGAACTAAGTCACAGAGATTTATTCAAGGTTACAAAGCTAGTAAGTGATGAAACTGGTATAAATGTAGGGAGCTTGGTTCCAGAAACTGTACTCTTAATCATTATAACAAGGAATCCGTGTTAGTCTGTATAATCACAAAAGTTCAATCAACCCTGTAAAAAAAAAAGTTTAAACCTAAATTTACATTCAGATGCTTCATGTCATAGTTTATCTACATATTTATGCCAAGTTAGTTGCAGTAATAGCCTGCTGGTTTGAGTTTAGTTAACAAAACTATGAGAATGAAAACCACCTTGTACAAGAATTCAAGCTGTTTAGCTCTGAAGTCAGGCCTGAACATGAAAAGCTAGCAGATCCAGAGAGATTAAAGTTCTTAAACAGGCCACATCTAACCCCCCCGCTCTGCAAAGAAATGTCAGGAGCATCAACAGTTCAAATACCCAGCTCATCTTGCCTCTTTCCCCTTTTATGTCTTATCTATAGTTGAAAAATACAGGCAGGCTTTCTGTTACTTCTACCAACATTTACAAGAAAATGTATTTTCTACTCAGTCTTGTCATCATTAACACATTAAATCTCCCAGCCCACTCACTTATCTTTCTACCACAGAACCATAGATGACTTCTGCTTTCTCAATTCTTTGGCTCCAGAAAATTAACAGACTGTCTCATGAAACTATCCTGATGTGATTTACTACAAATTTGTGCCAAATTGAACTGGATAGTATGACATTCAATAATATTCATCCCTGATTTTGCAGCATATTCTATATATGATTTTTTGTCAATCTTCACATTTTTATCCTAGATCTACCTCACTTTCACCAGAGAAATATTAACTAGACTCCAACTAATTTGTGAATTAGGCAGTTACTGAGCACTGAGTCCTTTAGCAGGAACGGAAGCCAGATTATAGTAGGTTCAAGAAGGAATAAGAGGTGAAGGGCATCCCGGGTGGTCTAGTGGTTGGGAGTCTGCCTGCCAATGCAGGGGACGCGCGGTTCAGTCCTTGGCCTGGGAGGATCCCATATGCCGTGGAGCAGGTGGGCCTGTGCAGTACCCAACAACTACTGAGCTCACATGCCACAACCACTGAAGTCCACGCACCCTAGAGGCTGTGCTCCACAACAAGAGAAGCAACTGCAATGCGCATATAATGAAAAGTAGTTCCTGCTCTCCAGAACTAGAGAAAGCCAGTGTGCAGGGACAAAGATCCAGCACAACCAAAAACAAACAAATAAATCTTTTAAAAAAAGAGGTGAAGACACAGGGACAGCCAGTACAGTCTATGTTCTCAAAAAGCTTGGCTACACATGGAAGAGGGTTCAAGAAAGTGCTCCAGCATTTTTATAAGCTGAGGGGAAGGTGCCAAAGGAAAGGAAGATAAGTTCTGGAGAAGAGAAAGGGTCTGCTGTGTATTAGATCCAGTACACACATTTTCTAGTCAATCTTTACACAGCTTTTCTGAGGTAACTAGATTATCTCCCTTCTACAAAAGCAGCCCCACCCATCAGCAGAAAATTGGATTAAAGATTTATTGAGCATGTCCCTGTCTATCAGAGCAAGACCTAGTTTCCCCAACAGCCAGTCCCTCCCATCAGGAAGCTTGCACAACCCTCTTATGCTCATCTATCAGAAGGCAGACCGAAGAAGCAAAAACTACAATTCCACTGCCTCCAGAACAAAAACAATCACAGAAAGCTAACCAAAATGATCACATGGATCATAGCCTTGTGTAACTCAATGAAGCTCTGGGCCATGTAGTGCAGGACACCCAAGATGGATGGGTCATGGTGAAGAGTTCTGACAAAGCGTGGTCCACTGGAAAAGGGAATGGCAAACCAGTTCAGTAACCTTGCCTCGAGAACCCCATGTACAGTATGAAGAGGCAAAAAGATATGACACTGCAAGATAAGCTCCTTATCATCAGGTCAGTGTCTAATATGCTACTGGATAAGGGTAGAGAAATAGCTCCAGAAAGAATAAAGAGGCTGAGCCAAAGCAGAAATGATGCCATTGTAGACGTGTGTTGTGATCAAAGTTACAGATTGATGTTGTAAAGAACAATATTGCATAGGAATCTGGAATGTTAGGTTCATGAATCAAGGTAAATTGGACATGGTCAAGCAGGAGATGGCAAGAGTAAACATCAACATTTTAGGATTCAGTGAAAATGGGAGAATTTAACTCAGATGACCATTATATCTACTACTGTGAGCAAGAATCCCTTAGAAGAAATGGTGTGGCCCTCATAGTCAACAGAAGAGTCAGAAATGCAGTACTTAGGTGTAATCTCAAAAACAACAGAATGATCTCTGTTTGTTTCCAAGGCAAATCATTCAAGATGACAGTAATCCAAGTCTATGCCCCAACCACTAATGCTGAAGAAGCTGACGATGAACTGTTCTATGATGACCTATAAGACCTTCTAGAACTAACACCAAAAAAAAGATGTCCTTATCATCACAGGGGATAGGAACGCAGAAGTCAACAGATACCTGGAGTAACAGGCAAGTTTGGCCTTGGAGTACAAAATGAAGCAGGATAAAGGTTAACAGAGTTTGTCAAGAGAACACATTGGTCATAACAAACACCCTTTTCCAACAACACAAGAGATGACTCTATACAAGGATATCACCAGATGGTCAATACCGAAATCAGATTGATTATAATCTTTGCAGTCAAAGATGGAGAAGCTCTATAAGCAAAAATAAGACCTGGAGCTGACTGTGGCTCAGATCATGAGGTGCTTATTGCAAAATTCAGGCTTAAATTGAAGAAAGTAGAGAAAACCACTAAACCATTCAGGTATGACCTCAATCACATCCCTTATGATTATACAGTGGAAGTGACAAATAGATTCAAGGGATTAGATTTGGTAGACAGAGTGCCTGAAGAACTATGGATGGAGGTTAGTAACACTGTATAGGAAATGGTGACCAAAACCATCCCAAAGAAAAAGAAATGCAAGAAAATAAAATGGTTGTCTGAGGAGGTCTTACAAATAGCTGAGAAAAGAAGGGAAGCAAAAGGCAAAGGAGAATGGGAGAGATATACCCAACTGAATGTAGAGTTCTAGAGAACATCAAGGAGAGATAACAAAGCCTTCTTAAGTGAACAATGCAAAGAAACAGAGAAAAACAACAGAATAGGAAAGATTAGAGTTCTCATCAAGAAAATTGGAGATACCAAGGGAACATTTCATGTAAAGATTGGCACAATAAAGGACAGAAACAGCAAGGATCTAACAGAACAAGAGACTGAGACGAGGTGGCAATAATACACAGAAGAACTGTACAAAAAAGGTCTTAATAACCCATATAACTACAGTGGTGTAGTCACTCACCTAGAGCCAGACATCCTGGAGTGTGAAGCCAAGTGGGGCTTAGGAAGCATCACTACAAACAAAGTTAGTGACTGTGATGGAACTCCAGCTGAGCTATTTCAAATCCTAAAAGATGATACTGTTAAAGTGCGGCACTCAACATGTCAGCAAATTTGGAAAACTCATCAATGGCCACAGGACTGGAAAAGGCATTTTCATTCTAATCCCAAAGAAAGGTGATACCAAAGAATGTTCAAACTACTGCACAATTGCACTCATTCCACATGTTAGCAAGGTAATGTTAAAAATCCTTAAACAGTATGTGAACCAAGAAATCTCAGATGTATGAGATGGATTTAGAAAAGGCAGAGGAACCAGAGATCCAACTGCCAACATCCATTGGATCATAGAAAAAGCAAGGGAATTCCACCCAGAAAAACATCTACTTCTGCTTCATTGACTGTGCTAAAGCCTTTGACTGTGTGGATCACAACAAACAGTGGAGAATTCTTCAAGAGATGGGAATATCAGACCACCTTACCTGCATCTTGAGAAACCTATAGGCAGGGCAAGGAGCAACAGTTAGAACCGAACATGGAACAATAGACTGGTTCAAAATTGGGAAAGGAGTATGTCAAGTCTGTATATTGTCAACCTGCTTATTTAACTTATATGCAGAGTACATCATGAGAAATGCCAGGTTAGATGAATCACAAGTTGCAATCAAGAGTGTCAGGAGAAATATCAACAACCTCAGATATGCAGATGATACTACTCTAATGGCAGAAAGTGAAGCGGAACTAAAGAGCCTCTTGATGAGGGTGAAAGAGAGTGAAAAAGCTGGCTTAAAACACAACATTCAAAAACTATGATCATGGCATCTGGTCCCATCACTTTATGGCAAATAGATGGGGGAAAAGTAGAAACAGTGGCAGATTTTATTTTCTTAGGCTCCAAAATCACTGAGGATGGTTACTGTAGCCATGAAATTAAAAGACACTTGCTCCTTGGAAGAAAAGCTATGACAGACCTAGACAGAGACTTCATTTTGCTGACAAAGTTCTGCAGAGTCAAAGCTATGGTTTTCCAGTAGTCATGTATGGATGTGAGAATTGGACCATTTATGGCTGACTGTGGAAGAATTGATGTTTTCAAACTGTGGTGTTGGAGATGACTCTGGAGAGTCCCTTAGACTGTAAGGAGATCAAACCAGTCAATCCTAAAGGAAATCAACCCTGGGTACTCATTGGAGGACTGAAGCTGAAGCTGAAGCTCTAATACTTTGGTCACCTGATGTGAAGAGCCAACTCACTGGAAAAGACCCTGATGCTGAGAAAGACTGAGGGTGGAAGGAGAAGCGGGCAACAGACGAGATGGTTGGATGGCATCACTGACTCAATGGACATGAGTATGAGCAAATTACAGGACACAGTGAAGGACAGCAAAGCCTGGCATACTGCAGCTCATGGGGTCACAAAGAGATGGACATGACTTAGCAACTGAACAACAACCATACAAAAGCAGGAATCTGAGACAGAGGCATTAAGAATTTCGCCCAAGGTCCCACAGCTAGTAAACTACAAAGTCAAAACTGAAATCCAGGTTTTTCTCCAAAAGTCCAGCGTTCTTTATACCATTCTACTTTGGACAGGAAAAAAAGAATACTAAATTCTCAGGAATTACATGAAGAAGAGGTAAAAGATGAAAATTTGCAGAGAGGGAAATTCAAGATGATGGAAAGGAGTGAATTTAGGCTTCTTAGCCTCTGATGGCCTTCCCTGGTGGCTCAGCAGTAAATAATCCACCTGCAATGCAGGAGCTGCCAGTTCTATCCCTGGATTGGGAAGATCCCCTGGAGCAGGGCATGGCAACCCACACCAGTATTCTTGCCTGGAGGATCCCCATGGACAGAGGAGCCTAGTGGGCTACAGTCCATAGGGTCGCAAAGAATCAGACATGACTGAAACAACTTAGCATGCCACAGCACAGCCTCTGATACCCACATGCAATGGAAAGCAAGGTTATCTGCTAAAAGTGAGCAGACCCAAGTGGGCACCGTGAGATGAGGTGAATGTAAAGGTTTCAAATGATAACTATGCAAAGTGAAAAGGCCTACGCCATCAGAGGGGTTAAAAAAAGGTTGAAAGTCTTAAGCCTTCCCTCATCCCTTACCTGAAGACAATCTCTTCCTTTTCTGAACTCCTATCAGTCTTACTGTTCATTATAATGTGAACTAGAATATAATAAATGCAGAGTAGTACATGAGCTAACTCTGTATAAATATTTTCTCTACACCTGGAAAGCAAGGCCCATGTTTTCTACCTCTTGATATGTTCCCATAGCACCTATTTATAGTACCTAGCTCTGTTTTTTTTCCCCCTGGGTTTCAGGAGGCAGAAGCAGGGAAAGAACAAGAGAACAGTGAGAATCAAAACTTTGTTTCCTATCACCTCTCTGCTTCAAAAAACTCATTCCTTTCGCAGTGACTGTAAAATAAAAACCAGATGTTTTAGCATAACATAAGAGGTATTCCAGTAATCTGGCCCTAAATTTGGTTTCTAGACTCATCATCAAACATTCCGCACATTCCGCATCTCCACGCCTTTGTTTATGCCTCTCCTTTTCCACCTCTGCCTGCCCAAATCTTATCCATCCATCAAGAACACCAGTTCAGATGCTACTTCCTCCTTCCCCGTTCCTATCCTCAAGCAGAAAGTAAAGTCTCCCTTGTTTTTTTGTAATAGCTTGAGAGTTTATTTGAATACTTACTACATTCAGTTTTGTGTTGATCTAATTTATTCTACAAAAATGTAAATTACTGAGAACAGGGATTGTGTCCTGATCCAGCACATAACTCCATACCCTCTATCATTAATGTTGGATACTTAATTTACTTGAATGGCCTAGAACTTAAAAACTAATACCTAGAGTCTTAAGACTCACTCTATAGCCCTATGCGCGTGCATTGTCAATCAGTCATGTCTCTTTGCAGCCCCATGGACTGTAGCCTGCCAGGTTCCTCTGTTCATGGAATTCTCCAGGCAAGAATTATTGGAGCAGGTTTCTATTTCTTCCTCCAGGGCATCTTCCCAACTCAGGAATCAAACCCACATCTCCTGCATTAGCAGGCAGATTCTTTACCACTGAGCCAACTGGGAAGCCCTATTGCCCCATAGTGTTTACTATTTTTTCAGCTTCTAAACGCTCCTTAAAACACCACTTTTGAGGGTGGTGGTAGTGGTTTAGTTGCTAAGCTGTGTCTGACTCTTGTGACCCCATGGACTGTAGCTTTTGAGGGTGGGGGGCTATTAACTATACTTTGTTATAGTCACTCAGTCGTGTTGTGTCTGACTCTGCAATCTCATGGACTGTAGCCAACCAGACTCCTCTGACCATGGGGATTCTCCAGGCAAGAATACTGGAGTGGGTTGCCATTTCCTTCTCCAAGGGATCTTCCAAACTCAGGAATCAAACTCGAATCTCCTGCACTGGCAGGCAGATTCTTTACCACTGAGCCACCTGGGAAGCCCTATTGCCCCATAGTGTTTACTACTTTTTCAGCTTTTAAACTCTCCTTAAAAGTCACTTTTGGGGGTGGGGGGCTACTAACTATAGTTAGCTAGTTATAGTCACTCAGTTGTGTTGTATCTGACTCTTTGCAACTCCATGGACTGTATAGCCCACCAGGCTCCTCTGACCATGGAATTCTCCAGGCAAGAATACTGGAGTGGGTTGCCCTGCCCTGCTCCAGGAGATCTTCCCAACCCAGGGATCAAACCCAAGTCTCCTACGTTGCAGGCAGATTCTTTACTGCTGAGCCACCAGGGAAGCCCAAAGGAAAAAGTAGGATCAATATTAAAATCTGTAGTCCATTAATTTTCTAAATTCCATAAGGGTATGACAATGAATCTTCAGGGGTGGTGATTTTGCCCAGTACCATTCCCCTAGACATTTGGTGATGTCTGGAGACATTTTGGTTGTCAAGATGGGTAGGGGTGGGTGGGGGTTGGGATCTGACATCCAATGAGTCAAAGCCAGGAATGCTGCTAAACATTCACAGAACAGTCTCCCTTTCCCTCCACAACAAGCAATTATTCATCCCAAAGTGCTGCTGTTGAGAAACTCTGGGGTAGATGTGTCATCTCATTGGTCTCTGGCAATCTACTGACTAGAACAGTGCCTGGGGCACAGAAAACACTCGAAACTTATATAAATGAATGAACACACACCATTCTTTCTCCTTGGTTTTTATCCCAATACTGTTAACAACCCATTTTCAACATTTTTATCTTATACTCAGTCTCTTTTAGTAAATCAAACTCTGAAGGTTCATATCATCAATTCCTTAAAAATTATCAAATGTATTACAAAAGTAATGACTTCCTGTAACCTCTAACTCCTCAAGACATCAGAATTTGCTGCACTAAGCTTTTCAATACCTTTACCTCTTGGTACTAACCTTAAGAGTAGCTATAGCTTACTTTAACAAAAATACAAGTATGAAAAATAAAAATATATTATAAAACATTTTTCAAAATACTGATTCAAAGATAAATTACCAATTAGTTGGATTACAAAATGACTTCTAAAAAGTCTTATGTGCTTTCAATCAAATTCAACAGATTCAAGGAACATTTACTGAACATTCAGCATGTACAAGGTATTATGCTAAAATAATATAAAAAAATTTCCGCTTTAAATATACCATATAAATATGACATCTGCTAAATTAATATTGACATTTTATCTTACCAACCTTTTTAGATACATCTTGTTTCAGTTCTTGTAGAGTGGACTCATTTCCAACTTTGCATGCAGAGTTCTCTGTTTCCTATTTTCAAAAGAAAAGAACAAACCAAATGATGACATCTTTTTTAAAAACCCTGTTTAAAATGGCTACAAATTAGAAATTATAGCATTAATAAATCAAAGGCCCATAAAGGGCTTAGATGTTTGGGTACTGATAGATTCCCAGAGATTTTATGCCAATTGGGACAATTTAATTTTCATAAGAAGGTTACCAATCAGCAATTTTCTATTTTTCTACCGTAATAGGATATTTTCTTTTAAAGTGTAGGAATATAAGAACTACTAAGTACTTTTGCAGCTCAAAAAGGTTACGAATTTAAGCAAAGGGTTGAATCAGAATTGCTATTTTTCCCAAAGTATTGCTCCATAAATATGGAAAATTGTGGAAAACCATATTCAGAGAGATGTTTTCTTGGAAATTCTATATGCTTTAGATAAAAGGAATCAAAATTTAACTGGTATTAAATGAAGTTCCTAAAATAGTAACAGATGAAGAAAATTAAACCCACCAAAAATACATATATATCTACGTATACATTCATATACACATACGTACATATATATATATATTTGAGAGGTTAAAGAAGGTAGAAATGGATGCTGCATTTCTGCTGGAAAAAAATTTGGGTAAAATAAGACAATCATACATTTGCAAATTGTAACACAGTATTCTTTTCCATCTTAAATTTTCTTTACATTTATAAAAGTACAGGAATTTGAATGCTACTACTGACACTGAGAAAAAAATTTTCCTAATTCTTGGTGTCCATCACAGAGTTTGTCAGAAAGTCACTATACAACCATTTTTAACTGACCTAAGATATATAAGGATGTATGTACATATTAAGGTAGCAATTACAAAGTATCAGGATAGGCTCCAATAATCTCTCTACTCCAGAGATTATTATACTGCTAAAGATTTAATGTGCTAGATGTATTTCTGTAGGACTGTGGGATTTCCAATATCTTCAAGCTGAAAAGTTGTTTCATTGAATTCCTCTCAGCATTTGGGAAATACTACCAATCTTATATAGATTATTCTAGAGAAAAGTTGTTTTAGGGGATTTGAAGTATTAGATAAAATCTAATCTCTATCATAGTCCATGAGCACCTAATATGATTTGGATCCTGCCTGCATCTTTCACATTCAACATTCAGAAAACTGAGATCATGGCATCCAGCCCCATCACTTCATGTCAAATAGATGGGGAAACAATGGAAACAGTGACAGACTTTATTTTGGGGGGCTCCAAAATCACTGCAGATGGTGACTGCAGCCATGAAATTAAAAGATGCTTGCTCCTTGGAAGAAAAGTTATGACCAACCTAGACAGCATATTAAAAAGCAGAGACAACTTTGCCAACAAAGGTCAATCTAGTCAAAGCTTTGGTTTTTCCAGTAGTCATGTATGGATGGCTTCCCTGGTGGCTCAGCTGGTAAAGAATCCATCTGCAATGTGGGAGACCTGGGTTCAATACCTGGGTTAGGAAAGATCCCCTGGAGAAAGGAACAGCTGCCCACCCCAGTATTCTGGCCTGGAGAATTTCATGGACTATTCCATGGGATGGTAAAGAGTCAGACGCGACTGAGTGACTTTCACTTTCGCTTTCCTTTCACTTTCATGTATGGATGTGAGAGTTGGACTATAAAGAAAGCTGAGCACCGAAGAATTGATGCTTTTGAACTGTGGTGTTGGAGAAGACTCTTGAGAGTCCCCTGGACTGCAAGGAAATCAGTCCTGAATATTCATTGGAAGGACTGATGCTGAAGCTGAAACTCCAATACTTTGGCCACCTGATGCGAAGAACTGACTCATCTGAAAAGACCCTGATGCTGGGAAAGATTGAAGGCAGGAGGAGAAGTGGATGAGAGGATGAGATGGTTGGATGACATCACTGACTCGATGGACAGGAGTTTGAGCAGGCTCCAGGAGTTGGTGATGGACAGGGAAGCCTGGTGTACTGCAGTCCATGGGGTTGCAAAGACTGAGCAACTGAATTGAACTGAACTGCATCTTTCACATCTATATTGATCACCTCCCTTTCCCATCATAACCCCAGAATTATACTTTGGCCAACTGGATGGTTCCTTAACATCCTTTGTGTCATAGCTCAAGCGTTATTATATTATAAAAGTCTTCCTTGATCACTTTAAAATAGCCATGTTGACAAGATGAGAGCAAATTCTTGAAAGCTGATGATCGTTAAGAACAGTTCATGCATATTAGAGAAACACCTTCAACTGTCCTACAAATTAACTGCATGCATGTGTTCCAAGTCCCTTCAGTTGTGTCTCACTCTTTGTGACCCCCTGGACTGTAGTCAGTCAGGCTCCTGTGTCCATGGGATTCCCCAGGCAAGAATACTGGAGTAGGTTGCCATGTCCTCCTCCAATTACCTTCTAATAACTGTTCATTATTAGTAGGGAAATCAGAAGCACTGTACTACCTTAATTCCATAGATATTTTCCCTAAGTTAACCTAAGAAAAATACATACCAATAATTCTTGTACCTGAATTTAATTTGATTTAATTAAGTACTTACAAAGATCACAGACCAAAACTGCCAAGCAGTGATTAGGCTTCTATTTTATTTGGCTTTAAAAACTCTCTTAGACTTTGAACTTTTGAAAGATATCAACTCCTATAAGGTAAACTGCTGCTAAGTCCTAGTTTTAAGGAGTGATACTGTACCTACCAGATGATCTAATCTCTAAAGAGGTTAACTAGATTTCTTAGTATAATCTGATTTGGTATATAGTCATCTATGATTCTCTCCATGGTAAGGTCTAAGGTCCAGGCCCTTCCCCCAGCACTTCAATCAGGCTGAGGACAAAGCAATGGAAGCCAAGCATGTGCCTGCAGACAACCAACATCAACTTAGCTAGACTTGAGACAGTCCTCAGTTATTACCTTCTTCTGGAGATGGGCTGCCCCATTACAAAAGCACAGTACCAACTAAATCCCGGTTCCCACCATCAGGCCATGTCTCTTAATTCCTACCTATCAGAACCTAAGAAACATGCTTTCTTAAAAGGTATGGTTTTTCTATCCAATTTCCGTTCAATTTCCAGCAATTCACACCATTGTTTCCCTCCATCTATATTTCCCTCCATCTATATTGGACTCTTAATAGAGTCATTTGTACCCTCCTCGTAGTATTGAGTTGTAAGATTTGAGCTTTTTAATTTTAAAAAGCACACCACCACTCTTTTCTCTTCTCCACCATCCTATGTGAGGTTGAGTTCTGTCCTCACCATGTCTTCTCACAAGACTTTCAGGATCAAGCGATTCCTAGCCAAGAAGCAAAAGCAGAATCGCCCCATTCCTCAATGGATTCGAATGAAAACTGGCAATAAAATTAGGTACAACTCCAAGAGAAGACACTGGAGAAGAACCAAGCTGGGTCTATAAGAAGCCTCACATAAAGAGTGGCACACGTGTTAACAGCACTTATTTAAGCAGCCGTATCACAGTGAGAACATCACTACTGTAATGCTTGGCTCCTGATGTTTCTTATTTCCTCACTATCAGTGGAGACCAGTAATAAACATAATATGTTACGTTGGAACTGTTATTGTATTATATGGTTTGTGATGACGTATTGAATAAATACTCCTGTCAGGACACAGGGCTGTCTAATGATAGAAATGTTCTCTAGCTACCAAGTACTTAGAAGTACTAGTAAGTACTAGAAGCTAGTAAATTAGGAACTGGCTTTTTTAAAGTTTTGTTGTCTTATTGTTCCCTATAAGTAGCAGCTCTTAAACCTACTGTTACAGGAAGTACACATATGTGTCATCCTTGTACCTGAACGCAGCACCTTTTTAAAATAAACTGTTGGGGGGGGATGCCTTGCCACAAGACATGCAGGATCTTAGTTCCCCAACCAGGGATTGAACCCACTTGGCTGCCAGGAAAGTCCCATAAAAAGCATGTTTATATGCTATTCTATGATGTGAACCAGGGTTTGGCAAACTGGTCTCCCACCTGTTTTTGTATGGTCTGTGAACTAAAGTTATGCATTTTTAAATGGTTGAAAAAATAAAATATTTTCAACATTTAATAAATTCAAGTTTACCTACCAGGGAAAAAAAATAAAAATAAAAAGCATACCACCAAAGGACCTAGTTTCACAAATCATTTGTACAAAGGTGATCTATACTCAAAGAAATCTTCATTATTATCTACTAAAGAACATTAAGCTAAAAATGTTAGTTACTAAAAAATTCAGGTCACTTCTGTTTTAGCAGTGAGGAAGGGGAAGTTATTAACTGTGACTAAAGTGAAGTTAAAAAAAATGCTTGAGAGATGAGATTGCTGTTCTTTTTTCAGAGGAGAGGAAAAAAAAAACCCAGGAAACTCAAATAGATGTCATATGCATCCATACATTCCTATCAACCCCATCTCTCCATCAGAGTCTTTTGCTTTAAAATTTTAAAGTCCAGATTAAAAAAATTTTTTTAATTTATTTTTAATTGGAGGATAATTGCTTTACAATGTTGTGTTGGTCTCTGCCATACATCAACATAATGCATCAGCCATAGTTATACATATATCCCCTCCCTCTTGACCCTTCCTCCCACTGCAGACCCCATCTCATCCCTCTAGGTTGTCAGAGAGCACCAGTTTGAGCTCCCTGAGTCATATAGCAAATTCCCACTGGCTAACTTTTACATATGGTAGTATGTATGTTTCTATGCTACTCTCTCCATTTGTACAACCCTCTCCTTCATCCTCTGTGTCCACAAGTCTGTTCTCTATGTCTGCGTCTCCACCGCTGCCCTGCAAATAGGCTCATTAGTAACATCTTTCTAGATTCCACATACATGCATTAATGTACGATATTTTTTTTCTCTTTTTGAATTACTTCACTCTGTATAAATAGGCTCTAGGTTCATCCAACTCATTAGAACTGACTCAAATGTGTTCCTTTTTATGGCTGAGGAATATTCCATAATATATATGTGCCACAGCTTATCCATTCATATGTCGATGGATATCTAGGTTGCTTCCATGTCCTAGCCATTGTAAATAGAGATGTAGTGAACATTGGGATACATGTGTCTTTTTCAATTATGATTTTCTTAGGGTATATGCCCAGTAGTGGGATTGTTGGGTCATATGGTAGTTTTATTCCTAGTTTTCCAAGGAATCTCCATACTGTTTTTCATAGTGTAAAGGCCAGATTTCTTAACCTGACATTCAAGACTCATGGAAATATGGCCCCAATTTATTTTTCCAACATTCCACCACTGAAATGTTTACATTGGTCACACCAGTCTTTCAACACTCCCATCAAATTCTCTCCTTTGCATACTATTTAGTTCATACTATTACCGAACATATAATGCTTTCCCATTTTTTCTCTATCTACCTATGTAAATATCTCCCAATTTTCAAAGCCTAACATAAGTTCTATCTCCTCCCAAAAACTTTTCTCTGCTATTCCAGGTAACACTGCCCTCACCATTGTTCTATCTTCCCATTCCTCCTCCAAACTCCTTGTAGTACTTATGATCTATTCAGTCTACAAATATCAATACCTCATCTATCATCCCTTCTTATATATAGCTCTCTTCTGTGAGCTTGTAAAGTCATCAAAAGCCGGGACTATATCAAACTTTTCTTTAGATTGCTTAAGATATCAACAGATATGCTGTTATACATAATAAGCACTCAATAACCCACGTACATCCACATCATAGGATATTACTCAACAACAAAAAGGAATAAACCACTGATACAGGCAACAACTTGGATGGATCAACTAAGCCAATCTCAAAAGGTTACATACTATATGATTCAATTTTTAGGACATTCTCAAATGACAAAATTATAGAGATGGAAAACAGATTAGTGGCTGTCTAGGATTAGGGATATTGTGGGGGAGGTGGTGGGTATGACTTTATAAAGGAAGATCTCTGTGGTGATAAAATTTCATCTTGATTGTGGTGGTGGTTACACAAATATACACAAGTAACAAACTGACACAGAACTATACATTTACACTGTACTGATGTCAAATTCTTGGTTTTGATATACTATAATTAAGACATAACTACTAGGAAAAATAGGTGAAGGATAAACAGGACTTATCTGTACTATCTTTGCAGCTTTCTGTGACTCTATAATTATTTCAATATAAAAAGTAAAAAAAAAAAAAAACCAAATATCTAACTTCATCTTTATTTACTAAATATGTACATTTTCTACCTAATTTTATTCAAGCTAAGGACAATCTATAATTACTGAGATAAAATAAATTCCCCAAACCTATTTGTGATAACCTAAAAACATCTTACAATCTAAGTGGCTTTTAAAATCTACAAGAATAACCAGCAACAGTCTGTGGATAGGGGGACTGGGAAATGGAGGGTGAGGAATGGGAGGGAAGCTACAATTTCAACCATCTTATTTTCACACTGAGTGAACTTTAACCATGTCCATGTATTATTTTTTAAATGGTTTTATTAAATAGTTCATATAAAGGATTTTTATAAAATATAAGGACTAAAGAATTATGATATAACCTTTCTTAAGTACTCAGTTTAATAAAAAGAAGTCTTATTATTTGCTTTCAAGTCTCCTGTATATCCTTCTCCATTTTCATTATATTCTTTACCCCCTCAGAGATGACTGATATCCTAAACTCTGTGCTTATCATTCCTTGCTGTTCTTTAGTTTTATTCTGCTTATAACTCTAAACAATATATTCTTTAATTTTGCATGTTTTGAGACTTAATATAAATGGAATCTTACTGCACATATTTTTCTGTGACTTGTTTCCCCCCAACTCGACACCATGGTACTGAAATTCATCCATGTTATTGTATATAACTAATTCATTCATAACCACTGTATAGAATATTATATAGAATATGAATATGAATATGAATATAGAATATAGAATATGAATATCCCATAATTTATCAAAGATTATCAGTATCCAATATATATAAATAGAAGGTAGAGACAGTGGAACTGAAAAAAATATATGGCATGTTTGAGATTATACATACATGTGTACAGACATGCACACAAACACCACCATACACAAACATACACATACAGTATATATTCTATTTGATGTAAATAGTTCTGTTTGGTGATATTCCTGTATTTAAAATGGTTCTCATTGGCGTAATTTCTCAGTATTAAATTTCTTTGCTTGAATATAAGGCTAGGATTGATTTTTATATGTAGTTATGATACCCATACATGTGCCCATAATAAATATACAAGTGTTTTGGTTACTTTATAAAATACACACATACACAAATACAAGTGTTCCTTTATTCTAAAAATTATAAACCAAATAAAAATTAGTAGAAATCTACAAAAGACTTATAGTCCCTTTCTTACAGTACAGTATTTAACTAGGTTGCTTCTAGAATACTTAATCACACCTCAAATAAGATACAATGATAATATTACTTAGCAAAAAATAAGTAGTAGAAAGCAAAAGCAGAAAATGAAGAATTACAGAAAAAAGAGAAAAATGAATGAAAAGTGTATGTGATTTGTAGAAATACACTTACGACTTTCACAAACCACAACTTACCTTTAATGCTGAAATCCCAACTTTTCCTGGATACCTGTTCAGAAATAAAAGCAAGAAGGTGTTGAATAGTGGCTATGAGAAGGGAAATCCTATACACTCATTAAAGGCAAGCCCATATTTTTAAAAACATTTATATATTTTGCCATTTAAAAAACTCTTCTGAAAATAAAATAAAATAAAAAACTCTTCTGTACATACAGAAGATGTAGAGAACATAAAAAAGTAAAGAAAATTAAAGTGACCCATAGTCTTACCACCAAGAGATTTGAGTTTGTATCTTTTGTTTTCCTAGATATATAACACTATAATTAGCATTAATGTGAATATAATTTTGTACTCTTCCACAAATTTCTTTAGAAGTGGAAATGCAGCTTAAAAGTATACATGCTTTTCAGCGTTCGGAGAAACTCTCAAATTGCTCTCTAGAACAGCTGTGCCAATTTACACTCCCATTGCTCTTCATATCTGTTTCTTAATAACCTTGCCAAAAATGAGTGTTATTTTTTTTTCATTTATTTTTATTAGTTGGAGGCTAATTACTTTACAATATTGTAGTGGTTTTTGTCATACATTGACATGAATCAGCCATGGATTTACAAGTATTCCCCATCCCGATCCCCCCTCCCACCTCCCTCTCCACCTGATTCCTCTGGGTCTTCCCAGTGCACCAGGCCCGAGCACTTGTCTCATGCACCCAACCTGGGCTGGTGATCTGTTTCACCATAGATAATATACATGTTTCGATGCTGTTCTCTCGAAACATCCCACCCTCACTTTCTCCCACAGAGAGTCCAAAATTCTGTTCTGTACATCTGTGTCTCTTTTTCTGTTTTGCATATAGGGTTATTGTTACCATCTTTCTAAATTCCATATATATGTGTTAGTATACTGTAATGGTCTTTATCTTTCTGGCTTACTTCACTCTGTATAATGGGCTCCAGTTTCATCCATCTCATTAGAACTGATTCAAATGAATTCTTTTTAATGGCTGAGTAATATTCCATGGTGTATATGTACCACAGCTTCCTTATCCATTCATCTGCTGATGGGCATCTAGGTTGCTTCCATGTCCTGGCTGTTATACAGTGCTGCGATGAACACTGGGGTGCATGTGTCTCCTTCAGATCTGGTTTCTTCAGTGTGTATGCCCAGAAGTGGGATTGCTGGGTCATATGGCAGTTCTATTTCCAGTTTTTTAAGAAATCTCCACACTGTTTTCCATAGTGGCTGTACTAGTTTGCATTACCACCAACAGTGTAAGAGGGTTCCCTTTTCTCCACACCCTCTCCAGCATTTATTGCTTCTAGACTTTTGGATAGCAGCCATCCTGACTGGCATGTAATGGTACCTCATTGTGGTTTTGATTTGCATTTCTCTGATAATGAGTGATGTTGAGCATCTTTTCATGTGTTTGTTAGCCATCTGTATGTCTTTGGAGAAATGTCTGTTTAGTTCTTTGGCCCATTTTTTGATTGGGTCATTTATTTTTCTGGAATTGAGCTGCAGGAGTTGCTCAAAAATGAGTGTTATTTTTAAATGTTTAGAAAATTCGATAGGCAAAAGTATATTTCACTGCGGTCTTAATTTGTGCTTCCTTGATTTATAGTGACGTGAAGTGAAGTGAAAGTCACTCAAATAAAAACCTGACACATTACTTAGGGAAAAAAAAAAAAAAGAAAGTCGCTTAGTTATGTCCTATTCTTTGTGACCCCACAGACTATACAGCCCATGGAATTCTCCAGGCCAGAATACTGGAGTGGGTAGCCTTTCCCTTCTCCAGGGGATCTTCCCAACCCAGGGATCAAACCCAGGTTCGCATTGCAGGTGGATTCTTTACCAGCTGAGCCACAAAGGGAAGCCCAATGGATGAAAAGCTTCATATACATTAGACATTTACGTTACTTTTAAAGAGAGAGAAACCATTTTTGTTCATAGCTCTTTTTTGCTTTGCTTTTTACTACAACAAAACTCAATTCTTAAATACAGGCTACTTTAGATATGATAATTTTAAAAAGTAACTTTTCACTAATTATTTTCACCCCCCATGTTTTTCTTCAAATAGGAACAACTTGATACCTGCTTCAAAACATAAAAGAGTGACATACCCTTACAGCTGCTTATTATATTTCAGGGTTACACACTAAGAAGCTTTTAAATCATAAATATTAATAAGCCATTTCTAAATTTTTTAAATGCAGTGATCACAGATGATACAATTTTGTGTAGAAAGGTGCCTTCAAGATCTATCTAGCCATAGAGCCTCTTTTTATAGGTAAAGAAACTGAGGAGCTGAGAGACTAAATGGCTTTCCCCAAAGTCACACATTTAGTTAGGGGCAGAATCAAGAGAAGCATCAAGTCCTACTACCAAGCTTCTCATGTGCCAAATTGAGTAATCTTTGACCTCTAATAAAAAAAAGTGTGATTAAAAAGTTACTTTTGCCACTCAATAGAAAATCAACCCCTTTATTCAATGAACATTTATGAAACACTTACTATATATCAGAGACTAAGGGAAGGAAGATGATTAAGACACAATCCTAGTTTAGGGGTTTTTTAGAGCTTGTTTTAAAAAAAAAGGTGGCTGTATAAAATAGTACCTGCCTATTGCAGAGCCTGGACAATATAATTTAATCTTAATAAAGGATAATTTCTAGGAACGAAAAAATTTTATCCCCAATTACTTGTCTTCCCTGGCAAACATATACTGCTCTGTAACAAAATCTTCTTTATCCAGAGGTGATTAGGATCAAGGCTATTCCAATTTTTAAATAAGGAATCAAGATTCTACACAAAGAATGTATAAAATAATACAAGTGCAATCAAATCAATAACAAAAGGTTAAAAAGCAAAAACAAAAAACCTTGAAGAGGCTCAAATTCCCATGTAGCACATATTCTGAATTCCAACCAAGAAGAAAATCACCTGCCACAGAGGTATAGAGACAAGAGGAAGTAAGATTTTTTTTCAAAAAAGTTAAGCCCCATATGAGGTAGAGAAGGAAAGAAAAAGAAAATTTGCCTTCCTCATGACTTCCATTTTGAGAAATCTGATCAGGTTTTTTAGCTGTCAAAAAAAAAAAAAACCAGAATAGGGCACATTTTTCTCTCTTGTATGTAACTGGTTTCATAAAGAGCTCTAAGTTATAGATCAGTTGTTGACATACAAGGAAACAGTTCTGATTGGTTATGGTGGAGCTTTACATATAACTATGTACAAACCATAAAAAATAATTTATTACTTCCTTTTGAGAGCCAAGGGAATGTAGTGAAAAGAACATGTGCAGATAGATGTTGCTTGAATATTGTTTCTGCCGTTTACCTTATGTGTGATCTTGATCAATTCATTTAATTTCTCCAAGCCTCAATCTCCTCCTTTGGAAAAGGGTAAAACCATTTACACTTCATAGGATTAAGTGAGAGAGCACATGGGGCACACACAATAAGCTGTAGTTTCCTCAGCAGCTTTGAATTGCTCCATTGAAACTCACAAATAATGAGTGTCACCAAGTTTCTCCAAGGGACTTTGGCAGTCTGTCAGCAGTGAGCAGCCTGAGACCAATTTCTGGATACAGAAAAGATACCCTACATCCCATAAAGCTCCAGCCTATTTAACAACAGGGAACATGAAAAACACCAGATTATACTGAGCTGGGGATTAAAATGGGATCCTGCTTGCATTTTGTGATGTCATTAAACAAAAAACTAATAAGAAAAGCCACTCATATTTGAAACATAATGTAAATATTAAAAGGTTGTTAAGGTTTTGGTAGGTAGTAAAATACTTTGTAGCTTCTTCCAGTCTGATTAAGCCTAAATTTGTTTTTAACAGGTAGTCTGTAAGACCAGAATTTTTTGTGATAAATTTTTTCATCCATTTATAGAACATTCAGTTCAGTTCAGTCGCTCAGTCGTGTCCAACTCTGCGACCCCATGAATTGCAGCACACCAGGCCTCCCTGTCTATCACCAACTCCCGGAGTTTACTCAAACTCATGTCCATCGAGTCGGTGATGCCATCCAGCCATCTCATCTTCTTTCGTCCCCTTCTCCTCCTGCCCCCAGTCCCTCCCAGCATCAGGGTCTTTTCCAATAGAACATTAGCACCTAGTAAAAACTGAAAGCATATTTATAATTTGCAAAGTTAGCTAAAATGATTTGTATCATGTGCCAAAATGTGAAAACAACAATTTATTTCACTATAAGAAACAGTAAATCATTATTTAGTATTCCCACATGAAAAATTCTTAATAGGGGCCTTGTAATAACAATTACACAATGGCCATCAGTTACTAAGCATGTGCCAAAAACTGTGCTAAGACTTGATTGCTTTAGCTTTAGTCCTCACAACTTTCCAATGAGGTATAAGTTATATATCTTCCCTATTTTATACAACAAAAAAACCCTGAAGCTTGAGTCAGATGGGGTAACTGCACTGCTAGTAAATAACTGGGCCAGAATTTGACCCTAGGCAGTCTGACTCTAGGGTCCACTCTCTCAACTACATTGCAATGTTGCCTTTTTTCTGTGTAAGGCCTTAAAGGATGACAGTTATGAGAATATTCTAAGCAGTGCTGTGAATGAACACCAAAGTAAAGGTAATTAGCGTTGCTTCTTGGGTTGGACTAAACTAATTAAGTCAAAGGCTTGAATCCTGATCTGCCTTTAACAACTACAATTAACATCTAATTGATTTGGCACTGCTAGGAAATAAAATAATGAAATGTTCCATATAGAAAACTGCCAGAGAAATGAAGCTTCTCTTTTCAGTGCCAAATTTCTGAAAGTGTTTTAATTATTTTTGAATTTCAAATTTCAAAAGCAGGTTGTAAATAAGTACATTATAGGCTAAGCCTTGCCATTTCAGTAATCTTGCTCTATAAAATACCTTCTTAAAGGATATACATTTTCCCTTTGCTATTGACTCAGAATAATTATGCTCAAATACTACACTATATGTTAATACAGTAATGCCACAGAGGATTTATGTGCCCTCACACTACAGGACCCTAGGCTACCATGCTTGGAATGTCTGGG